ACACTTCAAGGCAGTATATACTGCCAGAGCAGGCAGTGAAATGAGTGTGTCCAGTTGAAACTTCAGAAGAAATTTTAGAAATTGAAATTAAATTATTCATGGTGGAATTTCTAAAAACATTAGCCCTGCCACTTAGCCAAAATAGAAGATTCCTACTTTAAGTAAGTCCCATGCCAAAGAGAACTTGTTTCACAGAACGTTTCCCCTTCTCCCTGTGATGGGGCCATTGGGTCAGTACTGGTTTGGAAAAAAGTTTCCACATACCAGATCAATGACCTTTTCTGTTGTGAGAAGAATAAACTTGGGTCCTGTGCTCATCTCAGAGCAGTCATTTTCATTTTTACTGGTTTACTTTTAAAACTTTCCCATGTGCAGTATCTAATTATGGTACATTACAAAAATCTGTATTTAAATGGTAACAGTGCAGTGCTGAAAGGGACTGTTGGTAAATTGCTTATTCGCTTTGATGATTAAGGCAGTAATTATTGCATTAGCATCCTAAACCACACTTGTCTGCTGATATATCTCCTCCTAAGGCAATCCCATGGGATGCGATGGGCTAAGTAGAAAGGGTATGGCACTTGAAGAAGGGAAGGGCAAAGAATATGTGGAGATAGAGCCAGGGACAAAGTGAAGGTTGCTTTCTTCTGTATTTGCTTCAGCGTGGCTCGGGATAGCGCTGGGGTGTGGTACATCAAAAATGCCTGAGAAATGTAAAAATAGACCTTTCCACCACAGGCTATAAAAGACTCTATGATGCTTCCTGCCGGGTCTTATCACTGAGGCTATACTCACACAGTAATCAAAGCAAATAATTTTATTTGGTAGAGTAAGATGGCCTTTCAGCTTCCACACTGCTGCTGCCTTCAGCTGCCTGTCTTAGTCTGCCTTCCTGTCCCGAAATGTGTTTGGTAACACTGCTGGGTGCCATTTATCAGCTGTCTGCCACCTCCCCCTCACCTGAGCTAAAACTTTTGGTGTCTTTGCACTGCGTTTTTTTTGAGAACGAACACTTTATGATCCTCCTAAAAGCAAAGGCATAAAACAAGTGTAAGATATTACTTTGTATTTTCAGGAGCTTTTGGCTTTATATGATAAAATTCCAGGAAATAAGTTACTTGGAACAGTTTGCTCACTGGAAGACAGATGGGCACCAGATCCCGCACCCCTGCAGGAGCTGTGTTAGTTTCCCATCAATTTCCTGAAATGATGCACTTACAGACCCATTTCGGTGGCTATTTCAAACCCAGGAGTGACATTTTTTTTTTCCCCCACTGTCGTGGATTCTAAGAGCTACTCTCTTACCTGTACCTTTTAGCAAGAACCAGCTTTTTAAGGAAATATTTTTTTATGGAATTGATGGCTTCTTGAATTGTATCTGAGTATGGATCAGGTTTTGAAACCACTATTCTGCAGCTGAAATGTCATCCTTGCATTTCTGAAGGTATAAAACTGCCTGGTGTTGGTTTTGAGCAAGTGGCTAGTTTAAAAAAAAATCTTCTACAAGCTTTCCTGAGTGGCGGCCATTTCATCACTAGAGAAAATGGGGGAATCTATTAACTCTGTGACAATTTGTTAGGAAAAATTCTCCGGTTTCTTAATCAGTGTGCTAGAAAAAAAACTATAGTTTGAACCTCCAGGTCTGGGCAGGTAAAAAGCAACCTCAGCTGAAGATTCTAAGCAGACCACAGAATGCAGCCTGCAGAGGTAGTAAAACAGTGCAAACAGCAGAAATAAATCTTGGTGGGGGGAGCTGTGCATGCTTTCTCCTGGGCACGCTATTTGAAATTGCATGTTCTAAAGCAAAGAAAATTGCTCCTCAGACATACCTTGATGAACCGGATTGAAAATTGCCTTGCGCTGGAGTACACTGAAAGAACTGCCCTCTGTGCCCCTGACTTTCCATCAATAACTAAGCCATGAAGGTAGATAGAGAATAAGATAAAGGGGGAAGGTGCTAGTTGTTTTAAAAGGCTCTTGTTTTGAGCACTGTCCTTTCCTCCACATGTTTTTTTAATATTTTCTTTCTTCACTGCCCCCTTCCCTCTTATGTAGTTACCATTTTTTTTTTTTCTAACAGAATTAGGCAATTAATTGCTTTCTTCTACTTCTCAGTCCCCTTTAACATCCCATTGAGTGCATATCCTTCTCCCTGGAAGAAAAATGGTGCTACTCTCTCAAAGCTGGAGAAGAGGCTACAGGTGCTACAGCCGCAAGTTCACTGGTGAGTGATGGGGATTGCTTGGCTGATGGAGAGCCAGAAACGGATGGTGGGTCAGGCAATGCAGCTGGACTGACTGCACCAGCAGGAGACCTGTCGCTTTAGGGAACAGATCTCAGCCTCTGTGCTGGAGTAAGTGCTAGCAGGAACTCGGAGAGGGGCATTGGTTTTGTATAGCAAGTACCCAAATAACGTGTTGGCAGGCATCCAGCATGGGTGAAAAACCACTGCTAAGACCTTGACACATGTTTCCGTCTTCTTATTTTGGCTGCCCGGTCCAGAAAACAGTGATAGTGAAGAAAAAAAAAAAGTATAGAAAAAAACTAAAAGCGGAAAACATATTTTCTTAGGACAAAAGCCCACTCACTATGGAATTCCTTTCCATCCATTGGCCAATTCACTTTTAAAAGTCTCAAAGTGATTCAGCTTTCATTACTTCTTTTGTGGGAACTGTGCCTATTCTAATACATGTCATTGCCCACAAGCTTCTCCTGGTGTTGGTTATGCTTGCACTTCTCATTTAATCCCTGTTCTCTGCCAATTAATTTTATTCGTCTTTTCTGAGTTTCTTCAAAGTCTTCAGTTGGTAATTTTGCAGAGGTGCAGAACATACATTGCTAGATATCAAACATGTCACAACAGGATATAGTCACAATCCACTACTGTTTACAAACTCATCCTTCTGGAAGAGCTGGGAGCCTTCTGGAAGAAGGAATCAAGTACCTTCAGTCTCCTATTAAAGGATTCACAGCTCGGTCTCTAGGGCACTTGGAGCCTTGCAGGAGATGACTTTAGGAATACACTCAGCATTCTCTAGCCAGATGTAAATTACATATCCTCTTAAATTGAGGTGCTGTTGCTGATTTTTTTTTTTTCCACAAAACTGACTGAAAATTCACTAATTTCAGCTCCAAGCATTCCTCAAACACTCTTGCTGCCTACTGGCTGTCACTCTGACCAGCATCCAGACAGATATCAAAACACCATCTCTCTCCTAATTGTGGCACTTTGAAAGACAAAATAACCATCTGCATTCTAATTATTTTGTAATTACTTTGATTGTTATTTATTCATCATGCAAAGCATATGCATTACTCCCACATGCCTGGTGTTGAAGAAAGTACAATGCAAAATGGCAGCGTTACAAATTTGTGGAAACAATTAAGCAAAAGGTAGCCCAGTTAAAAGCCACACTACTCCAGTTCCTCAGAAATACTCCCACCCGGAGCTGCTGCAGCAATATCACCTTTGGAATGCAAAATCCAAACCCCTGACCATGAATGACCACGGTGATCCCCTGGATCATCAGACCGAATGAGGCGCCTTCTTGCAGATCTAGAGGAGGACTCAGGCATCAAATCCCTCTGAAGGCCAGAGTTAGCAGCCTCGCTCCCTGCAGGACATGGGACAAGTGTGGGACAGAAGAGACCCCACAACCCAAGCTCTGTGCACTGGGCAGGGACCCTCCAACAAGCAGTTGGCAGGCAGTGCAAGTGGAACACTGTGACTAAACCCTCTGTGGAGCTCAGAGTTCTGCTCCAGGCCCCTCGTAATGTGGTTTTCTTTCTGGTTTTTTTCTTTAATACAGAGACTGTAAAGAAGAAAGAATTTAAATTTCAGTTACTGGGAGGGAGGAAAACGTAGTGACTTTTAAATGAGGGCTGCCACCTTGGTTTATAGTGCTAGTGTCTCCCATTTTGCTCCTACTATCTAACCTACAGGAGGAACTAGTTGAAAAGCCCAGTTCAGTCATCTGCTCATCAAATGTGGTGTTGGATTTGGGAGTCCCCAGTTTGGATAGGCATTGAAATCTGCCTACCCCCATTTCACAGGCAAAGGCTTCAACCAGCCTGGGGTAAGAGCAAAGATAACAACGACACTGCTAATACCATCTCCTCTGTGAATGACTTTTGAAAGGAAAGCAGTGTGTTCTTTCCAATTTTTCAAAGCGCAGTTATAAGCCCTGCTCTCAGGAGAGGGCTCTAAGGTCTGGATTAAAACAGGCAGAGGTGCTTATGCTCATCCTGGGGTCTTGAGCAACCTGCTCTAGTGGGAGGTGTCCCTGCCAATGGCAGGGGGGTTGGAACTCGATGATCCTTGAGGTCTCTTCCAACCCTAACCATTCTATGATCCTAGAGAAGATGCCAGACTTGCAGAGGACAGAGACAGGACTGTGGCCATGTATTTGTGCCCGGCCTTTCCTATTGTCTCTCCACAGGCCGCTTCCCTCTCAGCATGTGAGATTTTTCAGATAAGCATTTTGAGGTGTATAATTCTCAGCAGGCACCACGTGGAGAGCCTTAATGTTGAACTTAACAGTTTTATATTCTGCCCTGGTGATGAAACTCCTAAAAGCAAGCTATTAAACAAGGTCTTCTGGCTGGATGTAGTCACAGCCAACAAGCTTTTCTTGCTGGTCTGCTCCAGGAAATAGCAGCCACAGCAAAAAAGTACACCAACAAATATTTCCATGGAGGATTGGCAAAGAGATTTTTCTGTACATTTTTGTGTATTAGCCTAACAAGGTTTCTAAATGACAGATAATGTACTTAGTGTGCAGAATGGCTTTAATTACATAAAAACTGTTAACAAAGAATTTTTCTTGCCGCACTTTTTTGCTGTGACTGCTACTTTCTGGAGCAGACCAGCAGGAGTTTCTCCTTGCCTTGTATTTAAATTTTGTAGCACTGCATCTGCCATAAATTGTTGCTCAGCATTGATGTACAGCATTTCTACAGGAGATGACAAGAGTATTTAATGATAGACATTTTTTGCTCACCTCATCAAGGTTATGCCTCTTACTTTTAATGTGCATTTGAAATACATCTTCCAAGGCCCTTAAAAATGAAAAAGAAGGAACATCAGTGGAAAAAAAAAAAAAAAAGACTGTTCAAAGGCCATGTACTTCCAAATGAAAAATACCACTCAGCCTGTCTTTCAGATCACTTAAAATACATCCCAACTTTTCACTTTTGCTCCATCCCCTCCCTGTCCCTACTGTACCTGTAAATGAATTTAAAAGATAAAATCTGAAATATTTTAAGGTTATTGAATATTCTCATTCCAAGTGCATGCAGTTTGTCAGGAACTCTGATGGGGAAAGTCTTTGATGTATATAATTCCACTTTCTTCTTTCATATTTCATACAAATATCTCATATTGGTGCTCTCCATTGCAACACAGTAGTCCCCCTCTGTATTTTCATGGGGCATAAGTCTCTCTGTTGCTACTGTCAAGTACTGTCCCACCACATTAACTGGGTGAAACCGAGGGTACTGGGGTGCTGGGCAGTACTGCAAGCAGCTTCTTGGATGTGTTTATAGCTGTTGTTCCTTTTTCTCAGATACTGCATTACTCAAAGAGGACTTTTGAGCTGCTTCCACTGCCCAGCACTTTTTAGACCTCTGAAAGTCATTTGCATGGTCTCTGTTCTTGGGCCTCCTTTTTAATAACTTTTAAGGAAAACTCTGAAGGTTGAACTTCAATGGTCATAGCTTTGTTAACTAGGTGTACTAGGGAGAGAGAGATGCCATCAGAAGGAGCTCTCAATATTTTCCTTGATGGCTATGACCAGCTGCAAGCAAAAGATGTGCTTGTGGTGATGAGCATTGGTAAAAATAAAGACCTAACTGACTAGGGAAATTAGGTCTCTAAGTTCTACAATCATAATTCAGTTAAATCTAAACCAATGGTTGCATTTTCAGACAATCTTAAAAAATGAAAATATCTGCAATGAGCTGGAGGGCTCAGCAGAGCTGTATACTTGAATTAGGAGGACGTTTACAATATTATCTGTAGAGAAACTGGTCTAAATAAATCAAGATATTAAAATATGCATCTATCATATTATTCCTGCAGCAGGCTAACTGAGGCCATTAGTTGTGTCTTTTCTAGTCTGTCACAAAATCTATTTAGAAATTCAACTTTTGATTTAAAATGAAAGGCCACTATTGATTATTCACTTCTATTCTGCAGAGAAATTAAGGTCTGTTATTAGAGGCTACCCAAGAAAACAATGGATGATTTTTCATGTACTATTAGTAACATTTATTTTTGAGGGAAGAGTGTGCAGCATCTAAACAACCTCCATCTAAAGTCAACAGAGAGGTCCATTCACCCTACAAGCCCAAGCATGGACAACGTCGTGCCCCACAGCACTCTGAACTGGGCTCAGTGTGGAGCACACACACGACCCTGGCTGCTGTCACATCATACAGGTACAAGTTTATGTTCTTTTGTTTGATTTTCACTATCTATAGAAAAAAAAAGTTATTTTCTTAAGGATACCAGTCCTGTTAATATGAGGGCTGCCATGCAGTATCTTTTTGAGGCTTTATTTTATTTTAAAGTTACGTTCTTTTAAACCATATGTATGGCCAGGCATGGTACTTTTAGCAACCTTGTCAATGTGTGGTGAGTCGGTGCTTTTCAAATCTACTAGTGTTGTGTAATCTGTTCCCAGTGTAACCAGAACATTCACTTCTAATTTGGGCCTTGAAGTTTGTCTGAAAACTGCTATACCTAGAAGGAAGGAAGAGAACTAATACCTTTAACTGATTGCTCAGAAAACAAACTAGTCCCTTGTGTTATTGGCTGTTTAAGAAAAATATATTTTATCTAACTGAAGTCCCCTAGATTGAAAGGGAAATATTTTGTTTTGGTGTCAGACTGAGTTTGATTGGTTTCAGGGTGTTAGCACCTCTCCAGCATCAAAGCACAGCGCATGGCAGAGACCAAGATCTTAAACATTGGGGTAAATCCTCTGCCAAAGGAAGTTTCTCTCATTTAAGACGGAGGCCAGGAAATGGCATAGAGAAGTAGCACACAGCGTTGCTGCTTTCAGCAGGCCTACAAACAGACCAGGGGTTTATCACAGCTCTCTAAATATTAGAAATGTGATAGATTTCTGTTAGAAATGGAAAGGCAAGTTGGGGGGTTTGTGTGACAGCATGTCACGTACAGAACATGAAACCAGAGAAGGATGCTGCAGTCAGACACCAGCAGCACTGGGTGCATTTGGCTCTTGCCCTTATGTGTGGATCATTAACTTGATGGCACATACATCCTAAAGAAAGCAATTATTGCATTTATTTATTCTGATCTTATACGAGGGAGGAAGAACTCAAAATACAAAATCTTTTGCTGTGATGGACTTTGCTAGGGAAGGTTTATTGTAGCTCCATGGGCTGTTAGCTCTGGAGTGACTGGGAGCTGGAATGAGACTGTTGTAACAATAATGTCTATCACTGCACTGTATAAGGGAATGAGCTTGAGAGCAGGGTCAGAGAACATAATGTTTCCATGTTTCTACTGGAAGTCACTGTGAAATAGGAGGCTGGCTGAAAATATTTTCTATTCAGCTACTCGTTTTAAATCATGACTCCTGTAAAGTACAGTCACAAAAGTATTAATCAAATTACACTGATTTCAAGTTTCATGTTAATCTCATTAAACCCACCAATTCTTTACACTGATTGAATAATTGGTTAAAATTTTGTTACTCAAAGGAGTAAATAAGAAATGCAAAGCACTTACTTTTCCTGGTAACAACTTCTAATCAAAATATCGTTTGTAAGATCTTGAAGAAAACAAAGATACTCTTCTTCTCTATACAAATACACAAGCCATCAGCATCTTTCTTTAACATACACTGCACACAAATAAGGTTTACAATACCATGCAAAGAGATAGCAGTTTTAGAGTAATTAACACAAATAAAGAATTTTGACAACGTATGCAAAAGTGATGAATCTATTTACTTGTTTGCATTTTTTTACTATCCAGGTTTAAACTTTTTTAAATGACTAATTTTTGTAGCTCTGTTGGTAAACTCCCTGACTACTTTAATCCAGTAATTTAATCCACTAATTTCATTAATGAAGAATACCTATGCCTTTTGTTAATAATCAGTTAAAAACAGTAGTTCTAATACACAAAATGCAGGTATCACAAGACAAATTATTATTAAACTTGTTTGTTTATTTACTATTTACTAATTCTTAACATATTTAGTTTGCATACAGTAAGAGGGCACTGGGTGGCATGACTCAGAAAATCTCTTCCAACTTTCTGATCCCACACTTTCTGAGCAAGAAGCTGAATCCTGTATCCCTAACAGAGTCCCTTCTATTCACCACATAAAGCCATTGGTAATAGGGTCTTGTGCTAGGCTTTCAATTTTCCACTAGATTTTGACTTTAAAAGTCTAATATAAAACTTAGAAACAGTTAAAAGGGACAAACAAACATTTTAACTTACTTTTCTTCAAGTTGTAATCCTGGAGAAACTGGCATTTCAGAATCAGGGGTCTGTAATTCATGGTTCTGCCACAAACAAGTAAAGAGGAAAAGCAGATTTTTTTTTATCTTTATATTGACATTTTATATTTCTGCTCAGGGCACTGGGGGGAAACCTGATTTCATAATACATCAAAATCACAACTACATCATACTGAAGTGACACGCCAGCTCATGTGAAATAAATGTCTTGAGTGTCAATCACTCGTATAAAGAAAGTATTATCATTAGTTGGTTTGTGTTAGCAGAACTGGAAACAAGCTTGTACAACCTGAGAAAAATAATGCAAATACTATAAAGGAAATCAGAAGTTCTGACAAAATAGAACATATTTGCAGACCTTATTGGAATAAGACAGTTGCTTTTTTAAGATGATGTGCAAAATAGATTTGTGTCTTTGAAAGAAGACTTAGAAAACCAGATTGATATTGAAATTATCTTTTGCTGCAGATTATCAAATGGGAATATGAGCTTCTTTTGACGGTGCTGTAAAATGAAGGTTTTGGTGGTTGGAAGAGGGAATAGAATAGTCGCAGCTAACACAGGGCCAGCACAAGTCCTGCCTGTGGTGCTTGTGCTGAGCTGCATAGAAATTCAACACTGATTTTGTAAAGGGATGAGCAAGATAAGGAATCTTACAAAACCTTTCTGTCGCGTATGCCTTTGGCTGCTGTTAAGCATCCCTTATTTTTCAGAGCACTAAAATTTACTAAATGAATCCCCCATTCATCTTAAAAATCCAGGTGATTAATGGAGTGCAGCTTTCAGACAAAGTCTTGTACGGCGTAGTACGGTGCTGACTGGAGGCTGAGCGATCAGCGCTTTGCCTGCACGTTTCTGGGCTCCAAGTTATTATTGAGACAGAGTGAAAGGCTGTAAATCAATCAAAAGCTGAAATGACCACTTGCAATGTTAGGAGTGCAGCCAGATGTCAATCAAGTATGATAAAGCACTGCTTTCAGAAGAACAGATTTGTGGTGGAATACACTGTTTTTCACACCGCATAACGCCTCGTACGTTTCTTGGAGAGACCAGCTACTTTAGCTGTTCCTGTGCTGAACACAGAAGTCTCTTGACCCTTTCTAAGCACACATACTAGATTTCTCCATTGCCATCTTAGTGACTTCTCACAAGTCGACTTTGTTTTTGGTTTTGCTCTTAATGTATATGCACCAAAGCCAATGATTCCATTATCCATCTCATTTCCACACAAACAGGACAACTTTTGTGTATGAACAGTGAGCTCTGTTCTTTTTATTTGTAACAAGCTGGGTACACCAACCTCAACTGGCTGCTGAGCAAAGTGATCTGAATGTGGTCTCACATATGTATCTTCTAAAAATCTGAAAGATTAAAAGCACAGTGAAAAACAGTTAAGCTTAAGATGGTGTGTTTGAAAGGAAAAGTACTTAACTTTAAGAAGTGATGTATAAACAAACTGAGTAAGTACCTGTGCAACTCTCTTTTCTTTTCATTATTGACACCTGCTGATTTAACTGCTGATCTGCCAGGGGAGGAGATCTCTTTTTTGGAAGGGGGATTATAGCACCTCTGTTTTACAAGAAAAGATTGGTGTGATGTCTTTAAAATTTGAGGGGTAAAACGCTGCTTCTTTTCTGTGAAGTAAATTGAATGTCTGTCAAGGAGGTCCCCAGAATATGTTTTATTACAAGAGTTTTGAAATGTCTTCTTCCTGTTGTGAGTGCCTAAACTGATGCGAGACTGCAGATGTGGTGAAGCAGGTGATCTGTCTGTACTAGAGCTGTGAACAGGATTCTGAGACAAAGCATGCTGAGCAGTACTTTGGATAGTCTTTCTTGAAGTAGGAGCTGGCATCAGAGTCCTTGAAGTGAGCTTCTGGAAAGATACAGAGGGGGACTGCTCTCTCTCTATCCTGGAACAGTTGTTTGGACCAGTCGTCAAATATAAGTGACCATTTTCCAACAGTGACCACCTCGCCTGTAAGTTAAAGAACAAAATAACAGACAGAAAAAATCAGAAAAGCAATTTTCTGAAGACAGTGTCTCCTACAAATTGATTCACACAGGAGGAATTTCAAGAAACTATTTTCAAACTGTCTCAAATGGTCTAAATTACTTGCAAAGTTTTGGGAACTGCAGTTAGGAGTAAAGGCACCCTCTCACTGTGCTAGAACTAGTTAACACGTTCCTTTTCCAGTTTCTTTTTCCTTCCTTCTCTTTACGAGGTTGAGGTTGCTGATGACAAGTAGTCTTGGGAAATTACAGAAATTCCATGTTGCTTGCCAGGGCCCACGGAGGGAGAACATGAGATTTTTTTCTTCCTTGGACATTGTGCATTCTTATCTATGGGACTGATGTCTCAATGGCAATCTCACAGCCCTTCTTCAATAGCATCTTCTATTCTCTCTTCTTGTATGCCCATGCAGGTGTGAGCATGGCTCCATCTCATGAGTCTGAAGCCAAACAGAACCGCTGTTATCCTCATAAATACCATACATGAAATCGTGGCCTATCACTTTGCTATTTCTGTCAGTGGGAGCAAGATTTTACAAATCAAAATAATGCACATGTTTGAATTGGATGACATTCTTTATAAACAGCATCATTGGTAATCTAGTGGTAAACCCACTATAATTCTCAACAAATAGAAAGTTTTATAATCTAATGATAGTCTGCTGAGGAACTTTTGCCCCAGAGACACTCTGGACTATGGCAGAATGAAATGTTTGCAAGGCTTGGTCTGTTCAGTTAAGGTCCACTGGCAGAATTGTTGAAGAGCAGGCCTACTCGCACTAGCGTGAGGTTGTAGTTTCTGGTATCTGGCAGAATATATAGAATTAGGATTAATTACTTGAGGATCCTGCTTTTACCAGTAGATACCATTCTGAAATTCAGAGGATACTGTTAAACAATGTAAAGTTATTGCATTGTGTTCAGTGGGAATACTAAGAAAATTATTGGGATTTAATTCTCTTGAAAATATTGTGTACAGAAATCATCCTAATAACGATGTTGTCAGACATCAGCAAATTATTTCAATAAATTCACTCCTTTTTTTTTTTTCTGGGCACCCATATAATACTTTGTTAAAAATTCTAATTCCATCTGCCAAAGGAGTAAAAAGAACACGTGTGGGCATGTACACATTCATGCTGTCTGTGCAGGGTCGTATTTTAGTCATGTACGTGTGGTCATGACATGGGTACCTGTCACTGTAGGCCAAGTGAGGATAGCAACAGTTAGATGAGAGGATAGCTGCCAGCTGGCAAAACCGAGAATCAAATATTATATCTGTTTGACCAGACTATAAAAAGCCACACTGAATAAACCTGCACTTAACTTCTGTGTTACGGGCATTCCTGGCACTTCAGAGTACAGCCAACTAAGGGGAAACTGCCCTTCTCACAACTCAGAACTACCTGTGTCACAGGTCCTACACGGTCAGAATATCACGCACCTTCGGCTGGCTTGGAGAAACACCTCTGGAGTTGAACGATGAGGCAGGAAGACCAGGTACAAGATCCTTCTTATATTTCTCAAGGGCTTGAATAAGTCTGTCTCTTTTCTGCTGATCCTTGTCTGTACATGTAAATATGTAAACATATGTAAAATATGTGAAAATATGTAAACACAACCCTTTCCAGATTAATCAATGGTCAAGTCGTAGAGTATTACTACCCTTTGTTCTTCTTTTTGCCACTATTCTGTCTCCTCCTCTTAATACCAAGTAGCAGACAGAGTCTCTCACTCTCTACAACTGCTTGAAAGGACATTGTAGAGAGGTTGGTGCTGGTCTCTTCTCACAGGTAATTAGCGATAGAACAAGAGGGAATGGCTCCAAGCTGCAACAGGGTAGGTTTAGACTGGACATTAGGAAACAATTCTTCACAGAAAGAGTGCCCAGGGAATTCCCAACCGGAATGATTCTATGATTCTGCTTTTTACAGTTGGTGCTTGCTGCCTCCATGCTCAGCACACATCTGAATCTGAAATCAATGCAAGCCAGGACTCTGTTACGTCCCTCACACAGTAAGTAATGAGGTATTGGAGGGATAAAAGAGTACGGCAACATTTTTTTTCCACCTCTTGTGCACTCTTTCCCCTATCATAGGCAGGAGCTGAGGCAATCAAGTAAGGATTCAAGTCTATGTACTAAGAGTTGAGTAACTATAGACTGTGGTCTATGCAGACTGTAATGCCAAGAAAGTGCACTTTCTGTATTGGTCAACCTCAGGCTGATAAGAGTAGGGTGACACTTCTGCTAACATCTCACACGAAAAGGACAGAAACAGACATACTCCTTTGGATCTTCCGATCTTACTGAAAATATGCAAGTGAGAGTAGGAATAAGAATACTTATTCTCGTAATAAGCATTATTGTTATACATCATATTATATTTTTATGTATTATATATCAAGTATTATAAAATAATAAGAATAATACATAGGAATAAGAAGGGGATATGAGTTACCCAAGACCACAGAGGCTCACAGGGGCATATTCATGCATAATGCAAAGCCTCTCACAATTCCCTGTCTTTTGTCAGAACCTTACTTTTAGCAATGCAAACAAGAATGATGTACGACCATTTTACCTGCCGTGTTCCTTCCAAGCATAGCTCTGAGAAAAGGGATATGAATTGTGATGTGCAACACCACCTTTCTCTTTGTAGATGGTGTTTAAAAAATAACAGCCTCAGCAGTACTACCTGAAACTAAGGATTCACACACAAAATATTGGTAAAGTTGGGTCCACTGAGGTCCCACAAGCTGCATGTGGTTATTTCGGGTTGAAAATGTAGCTCTGTCAGAATTTCTTTGCCCTCTGAAGCTCTGGCACATGGCAGGCCAGCGGAGAGATGTGATCTACTCCTTCCCCTCAGCCGCAGAGACTCCTCAGACAAGGTAATTCTAGAGGGTTAGCAACGTTTCAGGTGAGCTGCTGAAATGTGACTTCTGGCTGTGTGACATTACTGTGAATAATGCTGACTTACTCCTCACAAAATGCACAACTGGTTCTTGATTAGCCTAGGGCCCCCTTACCCTCTTACACTGCTATTGTGGCAACATGCTAGAATTTACCCTCACAATTACCTGCAAATTTTTTGCTAATAAGAAGCAGCTCCTCCTGCTCTGAACTGGCATAACTGCAGCATATCTCACTAGTAATGTGACCGAATAATGCTTGAAACTTGGCAAAGCAGCACTTCTGCAGATTTTCTTTTGAGGGGGAGACGAATCGTTCTGAATTTAGCATTGCACATTTCTGACTTAGCAGAAGGGTTACAGTGTTTTAGTTTGTCTTAAAGAAAGCAATATTTCTTTCAGAAAACGAATAGTTGAGACTTGTTTTTTTGAAAAAAAAAAAAACAACAACCAAACACTAACCCCAGCATTTAGATACTGCACTAAATGGTTGGCTCCTCTGAAGTTTGTGATGGCTCTTGTATGGGGCACACCATGTCTTGACAATTCCCCTGAAGGGTGGCCTCAAGGCCATTGAAAAAAAAACAGATTTCACTAACAGCTAAAACTGATATATTCTCCCGAGACATGTAATCTGGCCTTCTAGTCTTGCATAGACATGAGTTCGTAGCATCATCCTATTAAGAAAAACATGTTGACAATGCTAAATCCTATTTGGATGACTGGGAAGCAGGATTATACAACTCACTGGAACAAATGACAAAATGTACTTGCTCAATCGCATTCAAGGGGGATTAATACCTTCCCCTTTTATCTGGGTTTGTGCAGTGCCCAACCAAAGAACCCCCCAATTCTGATTAAAGACTGCGTTCTGCGGCCATAAGAAAAATGCCAGACAAGGTAGCTTGCTGTGGTGTCTGTGCAGCAGCACTGCCAGTCAGGGCACCTGGCTTCTTCCATGGCCAGTGCCAATGACTTGTGAAGCCCCAGGAAAGGGTGACGTCTGTGCCTCTCTGCTCTTCATGTGCTGTCTGTCGGTGCGCAGGTGAGGCAGGACAACAACTGTCAACTTGAGGCATGGCTGAGTCTTCAGCAAGCCTCACCAAGGACAAGAAAATGAAATGTTCCACGTCAAAGAGCCACAGGTTTTTAACAGGTTTTGTCTAGCATTTTGCTGATATTTTTACTTTAAATACAGCTTATAAATATGCTATGTGACATTTAACCTATTTAAACAACTACTATTGCACTCCATTAGAGTTTTATGTTGTGATTAGTTAGTAAAAGCTCCAGGGACAGAACGTCTCATAGCAATTCTCCTTCCCCTTCCCTAAGAGATGCCAGGATTCACTGCCCAGAGTGTTGGGCTTTGTGTGTGTCTCGGCCACGTGAGAGGGACTGAGAGGTCCTGCAGCACATCCTGGTTTGCTGACATGTCTGCTGAGCAATTTATTTGCCTCCCCACCTTCCAGCCCTGCCATCTCCAGTTTCTCTTTCCTCACTATTTTTTCCTCATTCACGTTTTACCCTGTGCCCCTTCTCATGATTCCAGGGCTGCAGAGTCTTGCCAGCTCCCAGGGCCCATCGGCTGCCAGCAGAGCTCCAGGCTGCTTCCTCTGGAATCCTCTCCCCTCCTACACTTTTCTTCCTAAAATGACCTCGCCCCGCGGTGACCTGGCATGCTCCCCAGATGCATGAATGAAAGGGCTAAGAGAGGAAGTCATTCTTGGGTCTTCAGGTCACGTTGTTGGCTTTCACATGTACTGCTGATGGTTCTGTTTGAAAGTCAGCTGTGACCGTGCCACACCGAGCAGCCTGGCCCAGCCCCACGGGCTGCCCCTCAGCAAGGGTTATGGAAGGAGAAAAGGATCACTTGCCCTTTTTGCCTTTCTCCAATTACTTTTGGATAACAACTAGTAATGACCGAGAACAAAAAAGAAAATAACATGCAAAGTTTGTATCCCAAATGATAGGTGTTTGGGGTTCTTTCTTTATCTTTTAGAAAAGCAAAAATTAGACATCCCTTGCCTTCTGATCTCATGTCCTAGCTGAAGTCTTTAAGAACTGGCTGTAGTTTACAGTTAAAACCATATCTGGGAATAATTAAATGGGGGAGAGGGGGAGGGCAAGGTTTCACCTACAGAAGCATATAATGACGCAGTGTGTCACCTGAATCCTCTCAGGACTCGACTACTTTTATTCCTGTAATAGCCAGTATCTCTTGACTACCTTTTTGCTGCTTCCCAGGGAATAGAATCATGTGGTACGGCCAGCGCAGCAGTTATTTAGATAAATGTATTCAACAGCCTTTCTGTTAAGCTCATTTATTTGCTAATTTATCATCCTTCCTACTGTGGCAAGTGTTAATTTATCAGTGCTATTATACAATTTCACTGGTACTTGTACTGGTACCTGGTACTTGTCAATGCTTCAAACGTACAGAAAATAGAAGAGATTTAGTTGAAATCTGGTCCTTTGAAAAACACAGGAAGATTCAGATACTACAGCCCCCACTCTGTTTTCCTGGCAGTTCTTGTTGCTTGCCAGTTAATAAAACATCTTGTCTCTCCTTTGCTGCTGTGTGAAAGGCCCGCATACAAAATGACCAAACACAAACTTACTCAACGTAGTAGAAGCACCTTAGCTGATAATATTGGTCAATAGGAATGAAACAAACTAAACCTTTTTTTTTTTTTTTAATCTAATGCCTTTCTGTTCTACTTATCTTTATCTTAAATAGAAAGAAGAGCTGGCAAGCACCTCAGACTGATTCCACAGCTGCCTCCTAAAACAGAGGGTTATTTTCAGGTCTAAGAGAGAACATTATGGCCCAAGTATGAACAAGGGATATGAAGCCGGAACTGCCTTCCCTGAAGTTGTTTACCACATGTTACAAAACTCAGTGATTATAGTTAGAAATAGAATCCACACCTTGGCTCGTGCCTTCATTTTTGGCTCACAGTGGGAGTTCTGGTTTAATTCCTACCAAGTGTTTTAAAAGAGTTGGCTGATGTTTAACTCCTGATGAGTTTTGAAACAACAAGGAAGTTTTCAAAGGGCTGTGGGGGAAAAAGAAGAGCTAAAGTGGTAAATGAACTCCAGGCTGATATCAGCCCTGAGCATAACAACTGAATGGCTGTTAAAAGACTCAGTTAAAGTAAATAATGTAAAAACCAATCAATATGGTTTTAAAAAAATCACAATGCTAACTTGATAAGAAGAAAAAGAGAGATTCTGATTGTGGTTGAGTGAGATAAAGGTGTTAGTTTAAAAGACTTCTGGAAGCTCCCTGGCTTTGTTCTACATGACATTTTGATTAAGCAGTTAGAACGCTACAAAATTACATGTGTTTGCAAAATGGCTAACTAGCAGATCTGAAATAGTAATTAGAAGTGAGGACTCCTTGCAAGGCAGGTGTTTTTAATCCAAGGATCATTTTTTTTATATTATATTATTAATTTATTCTTTCTGTTATCTGAAAGAAAACATAAAATCATTCCTCATAAAGCTTGAACAACTACCATTGGGGAACGGGTGAATAATAAAGGGGTGGTTAACACAGTGATCTGTATCGCTCAATGAGGTAGGTGTAGGTGAGCAGGTGTAGGCAAGCAGTATGCTTTTCAGCATGGATAATGGAACATGTCCATTCA